AGATTTTTCTTTTTCCTCTTCTCAGTTATTTCCAGAATTTTGTTTTGAAACTCCCTATGCATCTGTTCCATTTTTTGTTGGAATTGCATTTGTCTATTGAAAGTTTCCTCCTGTAGCTGCATCTGGAATTTTTTTGTTGCTCTAATATTGTTATCTGTCGTTCTGACTGGAACTTAAAGAATTCCCGAAATATATTTTTGCATTCCTCCATCTTTGCAAAAAGTTTACACAATGCCTAAATACTGTAGAGGTGGGGTCCTACAAATTTGCAATTTGTGACCTAATTCAGCAAACTGTATTATCGGGGAAAAAAATATATCTTTTCTCAGTTGAGAATACAACAGATTTTTTCATCACTAAGTTGATGTCTTGGCTTGCGAAAAACTTTGCCAAGTTTTTTTTTTTTAGCGTGAATCCGATATGAGTGCAAATCCTTGTCGCCAAAGTTGTTGTGGCGAGTGAATTTTTTCTTCCTCCGTATGAGTGCGAATCCTCATCGCCAAAGTTGTTGTGGAGTTATTTCACAGTGGAGGCTTGTATTTGCACTAAAATTGGTCCTAAATATTTCGACTTACAAAACATTAGGAACTTGATATAATAGGTATTACACAGAGTAATCTTGTTGTGGTCACTGACTACTTTCGTATTCAACTAACTGTCGACTACTGTCATCCGACATTGACTGACCCTTGTTTCTCTTACTACTCCTACTTATATTAGGTGGGAGAATCTATTAACTATAGAATAGGTGTGTTTCACCATAACAACTGTCATAGGTGAAACTCCTCTCTCATGTGCCAAATGTCTTATGGATTGAGTTGGATCTTTTCTAATTGATTTCTTTAGCTCTAAGTTGAAATTGTGATCCTTCTTCCCTTTGTAACCTCCTGATCCAGTTTTCCTCTCTACTCTTCCCTCTTTTTTAAACTTATTCACCATTCTCTTGATGGTTCTTGAATGGTCTTTGAATATGGAAGATAGACTATGAATGTCATTACTGAAGACCTGAATGATCTTTTTCCTCCAGCATTGCTCAGCTGGGAAGACAGTGGGGCTGACACAAAATGATAGTAACCTGTTTTCTTTCTAGCTGAATAACTCAAAGGATTTTTCATTGATTCTTACAATGAATGGTGTCAAGATAGCTAGATGTCAATTAGTTTAGTGATTTTTTAGATATTAAACATTTTGTGGGATGGAAAATTATACTGCAGCACGATTTGGACAATTTTGCTGTTACACCTGTTATATTTATATATACTAGTAGTTAATAAAACAGCAGTATTATTAATGATAACAACATATTTGCTCTCATGTAGTATAAAATCAGTACTCAAATTCAAGCAGATATAGCTACTATAAAATTAAAACAGGATTTAAGTGGAAATGTTAGTGTGACTGAAATTTTCATGCTAAGGTGATCAGCATACACTTGATCATGGACCCATCCAACTTTGTATAGAACACTGACTCATCCATATTTAAAAGTCTTAAAATTTGCCCCAGATATTTTACAATGTATGTGAAGATTACCTAAGCATGAAACTGGCAGTCATGTGTATATTTCATTTCTAAAAGTATCTATCTATTTTTAATATCTCAAGAACCAGTTGGACTGTGTCATTGTGACTTAGCAACCAATTAGTGGGGACATTATTGTGCATGTGTAAACAGACACTCTCCTTTAACATTACTCAGTTTTTTGGCAAAGCATTGCATTACCTCGGTCTATCAAAACATCACCAGATCTATCAGAATATCATTCAGATCTATCAGAATGTAACATGAACTAGATCTGTACCAACAAAAGCCAAATAGCCATCCCTGACTCATGCATGGATGTATTGTAGCTGTGTCCCATTGTAACCACTGCTACTATATCTATTACAGTCAACAGTGTAGTGGAACTCTTGTCTCATTCAGAACTGCATGCAATCACAGTAAAAGAGTCCTAGAAAATGAAAAGAGCAACTATGTGCAGATGGTTTAAGCCAAAGTAGAAAGTAAAAAAAAAATGGATCCTACAAGTTCTGGAAGATTGCAAACACAATTGTCAATAAAGACAAAGCATCAGTGCCATTCATTATGAATAGCTTTGAGATTATCTAGTCTTCCTCAGATAAAGCTAAGCATTTTGCTATGAACTTTGCCTCTAACTCTACATTAGACAACAAAGACCATTCCCTAACTGACTTCCCCCACCCTATGGAACACAAGCTTTGTGATACCTCTATCTCAGTTTAGACGATTTCCAGATTTATCAAACACTTGACTCTATGAAGGCTACTAGTCTTGATATAATCCTTATAATTGTTCTTCAGAACTTTGGCTAAGAACTATCTCCAATTTTGGCAAAGCTGTTTTACCTGAAGAAGAAATGTTTCAAAAGTCCAAGGAATGTGTCTAGTGTATGCCATTTATAGAAGGATACAGGTGAGATCTCGTCCCTATCAGCATACTTTCTGTCATCAGCAAACATTTAGAAGCTATCATCAACCAGTTGTTGACCACCTCAACAGAAATAAGCTCCTGAGCAACAAACAGTATGGTTTTTGCTCCTCTAGGTCCACTGCTGATATCTTAACAATTATCATGCATGAGATCAAAGCCAGTATAACAGGAGTGAGCTATGGAAGAAAGTTTTTCTCACTATATGTCACTTGTCAAAATTAACTTAAATTTAATCCTACTTTCATTATTGAATATCACAAATATTAATGAATTATTTTTGTTATTCTGAATTTATTTATATGCGAGTTTTGAAGTGATGGAATATTTCCATTTGATAGAAAATTTAATGTTTTCTAAGAAATCATATTAACTTACTTAAAGTTACATTCCTGGAAATATATCAAACTGCCATTTCTATAAATAGGCAGAAATTTATAAAAAATATATTTGGCCTTGAATATACAGAGGGTAAAATTCTGAGTTTTATTTAAGGAAAAATATCAAAATGCTTTTTCTATTAACCTTTAACATTCTAGAAATGATTCTGTTTGCAAAACAAAATTTTATCCTACCACTCCAAGTTGTGTTGTCATATTCTGCTATGGCAACAGAAAATGACCATGACTGAAATTAAGTAGTGCAGTAGAGGAGCCTTGAAAAACAATGCAATGGAAAGGAAAGTAGTGAATAATGCAGTGAGTTAAAGGTTAATAGGTGGCAATCCTATATAAACAGTATTATATTACTGTCTTATTCCATTGTACATTGCAGGAAGAATAAATAAATAAATATTTGGCCATTCTTTTATTGATTCGTTCCTTCCTTTTTTACAGCTTATCAACCCTTTGCAGGTTATTTAAAACCAGAAAATATTTTTAGATTGTAAGAATTTTTGTGGGGAGATAATTATTTTAGTTATACAATTCTTACTAATTATTCCATAGTCGGGGGAGAGGATTCCTAAGTACCACTCAAACAGCTTCTTCCTGTGAACCTCTGCCCTGTAGGAACAGACTCCCAAAATTACTTCCCCAATTACTACAATATTAACCTGTTCAAATCTAGAGTTAACTGTTACCTTCCCTTCCTATCCATATAAACTACCCCTTAACGTAACCCTCTACTTCAAGCGACCCCCAGACTTTGTACAGGGTGAATTTTATTGTAAAAAAAAAAAATGAATATAAAGAAATCAACAGGAATTGGAACACAATAAAGTGCCATTGCCGACACTAGCATTTGAACACAGATCACCAGTGAGCAAACACAGGTGATTCCATTTCTAATAAGTAGACTATGTGATGGTAAAGGAAATGTATATATGGGAATTAGTGTGGCATCTAATTGATCACCATTTCTATTCTATCCTCTCTTACAGGGGTTTTCAAACGTTTTGACTTGCGGACCCTTTATATTTCAGGCTTTACCTTAGGGACCCCCTTATAAACACTTATGAAATTTATACATAAATATTTACTGAATATAACATATAATTTTACATTAATGCAATAAAAGCTGGTTTAAAGCTTAAGTGTTCAAATAAATTAATGCTGCATGTTGCTGCAAAATGTAACAAAATTAAATTTTCTTATATTAAAATATTAATTTTACATGTAAATGAAAAAAGTAATAGTATTTAACAAATAGTTTTATTGTCAATTACACACACAGGATTTTTTAATACACACTTAGTGAGAAGGATGTGCTTGCTTGGCTTTGCACAAACTGTCAATTCTTGGCAATATTACTGATAAACATACACGTAAGTCACTTTCTGGAGCAAGTCTGGATCTGTATTTGTTTTTCAGATTGATTAGTGCCGAAAATCCTGCTTTGCATAAATATGTTGTTGCAAACGGTAACAAAATCTTAACTGCCTTTCAAGATAACAATGGATACTCGGAGGCTACAGTGAGCCAGAATTTCGAAAGTTGTTGCTGCACAAAACTGATTTTTAAAGTTCTGTCGCATGAAAATTTCCGCTAGTTCTTCCAGTTAATTTCCTGTGAGCATGCTATTAGCTATTTCAACATTAAACAGATTTCTGATCCAGTCAAAATTTTCAATATTATCAGCAACATCTTTTGAGAAATATTTGTCAAAATGTTCAGCAAGTGATATTAAATGTCGTTTAACATCTACAATTATCAAATCAACATTCACGGACCCCCTATCTTGTCCTTGCGGACCCCCTGTGGTCTGCGGACCACAGTTTGAAAACCCCTGCTCTATTACTATACGGATCACTATTTTCTATACTATTCACTATACTGATCACTACACGGATTACTATTTGGTGATTACATTTTGAGTGATTATTATTGAGCAAGTACTATTAGTGTGAGTGTTATTTGAAGGTGTCTGACACCAGCATTGTTCAACGGCATTACTATAGTTGTATCTACAATTACAAAATCTTTACTACAACAAGCATTACAAAAGTGATGATGAGTATTCGTTGACATCACAAAAGTGGCAATGAGTGTTCATTGACATCACAAAATTAACAATTCCAAGCCATTATCCACTACACCACCCACACATCTAAGCTTACAACACCTGGTATTCCCAAGCGGTCACCCATCTAGCTACTGACCAGGTTCAATGTTGCTTAATATTGGTGATCATATGGGAACCAGTGTTTCAATACAATATGGCTATAAGCCATTTGACCTTGCATATGAAGGGGGTAGATTTTGTCATTTTATTTGAGGAAAACTATCAAAATGCGTTCTCTATCAATAAACAGTAATCTTATATAAGCAGTCTATAATTGGCCTTTAATATGTGGGGTCAATTTTGAGGAAAATTTACCAACTTCAATACCTGAAAATATTATTTCCATTATTTCCATTTGGACTATTGTCCTTGTCTTTGTTATTGTTATCACAATGTTTCAGTTGTTATGGCATCCAACCTTCATCAGGTGTATATCAATCCAGGTAAGCTACAAAGAGAATAGCCTGGTAGAGTAGAGCATTAGTTTGTGAATTTAATGACATAGTAATTGTGAGCTCAATCCCTGGGCTGAGTAGTGTGTACTTGGACTCAGTGGAAACAGGATGAGATATCCCTAGACATCAGCAGTGGAATGAGAACAATCTATCCCTGTAGATTAAAGAAAGGGTTCAGTTCAGAATTCCCTGTAGGTTAGCTGATGAAGGTTCGAGCATGCAATGGCTGAAACATTGTGATAAAAACAACAAAGATGAGGACAATAATCTGGATATAAATAGTTTAAATAATGATAACTCTTCATGTCAGAAATTTAAACTGAAAATATCAGTCATGCATTTTAATATGTAACATATATTCTCCCCTTGTCGGGGTTGACAATAGGTGTATCAAATTTTTGCAATTATTACTGCATGGACAGTAGTTATGGGAGTGTGTTTTGCCTTATGTTTCCCTCATTCTTTTCTCTGTTAAACATTATTAATGATAAGTGTTTTTATCAAGATATTAGTAAATGAGCAAAATACAGGAATATGGGTTCATATTTTTCTTAAGTGTATTACTATGAAGAGATTATAAGCAAAATCAGTTGGAAATTTGAATTCAATTTGCTGACTCCATTATGGAAGCTAGTATATATTTGTTGCAGGTTTAATCCTTTTCTTAACTAAAGCTTTTAAAAGTAAATCCTTAATCAACATTGAAACAAAGACATACATTCAGGTGGCAAAGAATAACAAGTATTCTTAGTTTTGGCCACTCCCACTAATCCCAGTAGTTATAAAAAGCAGCTTTGGAGGAAAAGAGAGAGAAAGGCAAATCATGCGAAACTGATTGCAACCAGTAAATAAGACTGAACCATTTAGTGTGACATACATAGAAAACAATGTAACACAATAAGAAAATAAATTGTTTGCAAGTGATAAGTCTATCATTAAAAGGTAATATTAAACATAAGAAAGAGATATTTGTGTAAAACTTATCTGTGGTCTTCATTCCTGGAGCAGTTCAAATTCATGTGCTCTCTTTGTGAGAGGTCGACGAGAAGAGGAAGACTCTAAATTTCTCACCAGTAGGGTGGTTTCCTTTTTACTGTGGAATCATGGGAATTTTTTTTTATTTCTCATGATCGTGAGACCATACATGTTTAAACTAGTATTTCTTAACTTACAGAAAAATAAGTATAATTGTATATAAGATATAATAGTATATCTTGAAAAGAGAAAAAAATCATCCTAATTCTTTAATGAGCATCTTCAGTAGATAACTTTATATTCCTTTTTGATGTTTGGGGAATATAGATTGATTTTTTTATCATTTACACTATTTTCATTTAAAACAATGCTCTCATTTTTGTTTTCTTTCATTTCTTTTGTGAGCCATTGTTCTTTACAAAAAATATATGCATAAAAATTCCTCCATGTATTGAATTAATTTCTTTTCAATATGTTGAAGTTATTTACTTTGAAGTCTTTATTCTCATCAGCAACAAGTTGCAACACTTCCAGCTATAAATTGGTTACCAACCACAACCTTGTCCATTGCTATTTTGTTTCACTGCCATGTGATACCTATTTGTGGAGTTTTCCTTTTTCTTTTTATTCTTCTTATTCGAACAAATGGATATTCAGATATGTGGGTGGTATAATGGATAATCACTTGGAAGGAGAAACTGGAAAGCCGTGTTCTAATTCCAGTTGGGTTTGTTACATTCACTTACATGCAAATACATTTGAGAAAGGTGTGAATCCATCTCTCCTCTCCAGCTATGAGTTAAAGAGTTGGACTAGATAAATCACTGTTATTCAAAAAAAAAAAAAAAAAAAATTGTTAATGTAATATTTATTAGGAGTAGATAGGTTTGCCTATTGTCTGGTTCACATACCACCCAGATCTTTTGAACAGGAGTAGAGGTTTATCCTTTGTTTCCTCTTTAGGATTGGGTTTCTGGTTGCTTTTAAAATCTGCTTCAGCTCTATTCACCTTATGCTTGTTCTTTCCTATGATAAGTCCACACAGTAACACTCTAGCTTGAGTGGCTTTTAGGCTTGTATTGGGTGATCATTAGTAAAAAAAATATATTCACTCACAAAAAAAACAAAAAAAAAAGAATTATTCTTACAATCCAAAACATGTTTCAGCTTTAAATGACCCACAAAAGGTTGATAAGCCATAAAAAAAAAACAAATCAATCAATCAAAACTGACATGTCTGACATAGGAAGAGAAATAAAAATTGAAAAAGGAATCACAAAACATAAAGCTAAAATAAATTGTATTGAGAAACATTAATAATGAAAGAAAAAGAGAAAAGGAATTTCTACCCTTAAATGAAAAAAATAAAAATTATTATTGCTATTTTTTTTTCACATGTTTGGTGGGGGCGGTAAATGAATGATCAGGGATTCCATAAGAGAATTGATGGTTTAAAAAGTTTTAAAAGGATTTTGTGGGTGTTGGGAGGAGAAGAGAGAATGCCAAATCTCTTATCCTGTGTATTATGAATGGCGCAAATAAAAAAAACACAAGACTCTTATTCAGATGTGAAATTTTAAACAAATTTACTTTTATTAAATGACATGTAAATAGTAATAATACAAAATTTCCAAAACAAGCTCGCACAAAATTTTCCTTTGTGTGCCATACAATTAGGCAAGATAACAAATTCTAAATACACTTATGTTGGGCTCATAAAAACAGTTGTAATTATTGTCAAGAAAATGTTCACTTCGATTTCAAACTGGCTTGTGAAAATCTTTTTCTCAAATTTGCGGAAGTGGTAAAAAGAGTTATTATTGTTATTTTCCAAATGGACCAAAAATAACACGTGGTAGGTCTACAACTACATCCTCCAAGTATTTTGGTGGTATTTTCCCTTGTAATTATTGTTTATCAAACAAACTTTCTGATGGGATTTTATTGGTTGAAAAATATATATAGGATTTGATTCCTATAAAACCATTGCTCATGTTGTGAACTAGTAGATCTCACACTATCGCTACCTTGTGTTAGACTAAGCTAAACTTTGATCAATGAGTAAAGTAGTTATTCCAAATCATTTCTAGTGAAGGGAATTTATTTGGTACAAAATTGTCTACATGTAAAATAGATATAGTAATTTTCCAAGCATAGCTCAGATGTAGCACAAGTCTGAAAGTATGGATCATCTAGTGAGGATCGAACTCACTACTTAGTCGTAATTGTCCTAGCAAGACAAGTTTGCTAACCATTGCACCACCTCAAGGTGCTCAAAATCAAATAGATATATGGGGGGAAACCCAGACCAACAAATGAGGAACGCTATGTCACTGAGCTAAGAGGTTTTCTGACCAAAAAACAAACTGATATAATATTTTAATCAAAAGGTATCCCAAATTAAAAGGCTCACTGTTGAGGATAAATTAATAAAATAACCTTATTATTGGAGAAGTTCTTTCACTGCTATAAAAAAAAAAAGAGAAATATCTCTATATTAGAGATTTAAGAAAACGTGAATGATGTCAGTCTTTTTATGATTCCATTTAAACCCTAAACCATTTCAGTAAAGTCAAAAAAAAAAAATAATGTCAGATTTTAAAATATTTGTGTTGTTCTTCACCCAGAAAGAATTGTCAGGTAAAATGCCATCAAGAAAAAAAAAAAATATGAAACCAAACTTATTTCCTCTTTCTCTTATCAAAAAGAGGCGAGTGAACACGCTTGCCTCCTACCCCATTGCTGCCGTCTACTTTTCCCATTCCTCAGACGGTGCTATAAAACGTCGCGGCGTGCTGATCTTCCCAGAATTCCACGCACGAAAGTCGATAAGAGGTAGTAGAAATGTCGTTGTCTGGTGGGTTGTGGCCTTTGGCGGTATTTGCCTTTTTGCTTGTGACTTCTGGGCTTTTGGTTTCAGCCAGTGATGAAACCAAAGCTTCTAAGAAAGTGGCCAAGGCTCGAGTTGAGGTGGGTGAGAACTAAATTTAATTTTATTATTTTGCAGTTTCTTTATTATTATTATATATTTTTTTTTAAATCATTTCTCTGCCTTTTCTTTAACTTTGACTTCGATAAAAAAAATAAAAACAGTTAATATTTAATTTTATGATAAAATTACCTCTTCATCGAAATAAGGATATCTGCACCATATTGCAAAAGAGGAAAATAGACAATTATTTTAGTTCTTTAAAAATTATTAAAAGGACTCTAATTACCAATTCCTTTTCTTTTTAAATTTTTTTTTTTTTTTACTTATAGTCATACAAATGTCTGAAAAGAATCACATTTCTCTGGACTGAAAAAAAAACTTATAAAAAAAAAAAATACTATAAAAAAATGTTTCAAATAACAATTGGATAATAATATTTTTCAACTTTGCTTTACTCCTGTCTATTTTTTTTTCTTTTTTATTTTAAATTCCCATATTTAAAAATTGGTCTAATTCTCTTTATTAAAGCAATTTTAAATTAATGATTTTTTTTTCTTTCCTTTTAATTTTGTCTTCGAATTGTACTTAAAAGATTTTTTTGATCTCTGATCATCTTTCTTCAAAGATGTCACCTCATAACTCCCAAACCAAAACGAAAAATACACGTCAAACGATAATCCAAAATCTTATTTTTACTAATTTTATTATCCAACCCCACCAAAAAATAAAAACGAAGCAAATGAGAGAAGATTGTATTGCGCCAATCTTTCAAGTAGCAGGGAGTACCTTTACTTGAA